TTTCATTTTGCCATTATTTCAATGTCAGGGTTATTATTAAATAATTTATAGTATGTTCTGACTTTATTTTAACCAAGGAGTAAGCAGTGAGTTCTTATGACCACTGCAATAGATAATACAACATGCATTGATGACATAATTTAGCTAATTCTATTACTAGGATATCTAATATGCATTTAGGATCAAGAAACTTTCACCAAGTTCAGCAGCTTTATCTTCTTGGCCCTGTCTCCTCTTCTTAGCCCTCTTTTCAATTTTGTTTGATGATTTTTGCTGAAGAATTGGGTGGCGCGGAAAGGGCAAAATGTTAACTAGCTAATTAATGAAAAACAGCTGAATGGTGTGAATGGAAATCCTGACTGCAGGATCTTTTAGGAAGTGGGAATGATCTTATGCACTTGTTAAGTCAATCATGAGGTGTTTAGCAAATCCAACTTACTTAGAGAATTACAAATAACTAGAGTGGCTTATGGACTTTCCATGACTATCTGAGGTTAAAGGGCAGATTATGGCAGTCAACAACCTGCCTTAGAGTTTTTGGGAAAACGCCTTTTATAAGACGACAGGTTTATCCGCATTTTTCTTCCTGCCCTCGCCCACTGAAGTCTTGCCATGGGTCTGTGCTTTTTGCCCAAATGGACTTGTACTAGTAAACTTAATCTCAATAGCAGCTTGTGTATAGTTCTATGTAAATTTTTGATCACAAAAACGATGTCAGTTTGCTCACACTTGGGCTGAAGCCTTTATTCTTTCAACTTGAATGGAAAATGTAATCCTTACATGAAGTGGTTGATCTATGAGAGGATCCGGGCATCTGATTTTACCCAGAGATTTAGAAATATTTAGAAGCAGGTGAGTATTTTAAAACCCAAACAAGGATGGTGTTCGGTGATGTATTCTAATTAAATGCATATTTGTTTCAGAAATTCACAGCCTTGCAGATGGGATGCATTCTGGTACCCTCATCAAAGGGTCTCTCTATCCATCTGGAAGCTGTTCAGTTAGCTGTGTTCAATCAGAATTGCATGGAAATTTACACACACGCACACACACATACACACACACACCTTTGGATGCCAGCTGCAGAAATAGCCCAGTTGTATATATTACTCATCAGGGAAAGGAGCAGAAAAGGCTTTTGGCATTGTCAGACCAAAATAAAAAATTAAAAATGAATAAGTTAGCACAGGCAGTTTTGCTCCTTGCTTTCAGAAAGGTGCATTAGACGTGGAGAGTGGGGGTGGGGAAATATCATATCCCTCAGGGCTCCTGGGATATTGGGAACATTTAAATGCCAAGTCCAATTCTCACATACAATCAGATGCTCCCCTACTCCAGATAATGGTGGCATGGAAGAATCGCACGGAAGAATCCGAGGTGCAAAACCCCAGTAAAGCATCACTCGCTACACAGATGCTTTTGCTGCTGCTATTTTCACAATCACAGCTGCCCTTTTTGAAGCCACCCGGCTCGCAGAAATCCCAATGTGGTATTGACAAGTAGGATTTCTTTCACAACTGTTTTTCACATACTATTTCTCGGTGTAATTTTGTGGGTGATAAGGAGGTAAATAAAAAGCATCCAGTTCTCAGGTATGAATCCCAGCTCAGGGAGTGAGCTACTGCCTGTGTTGATTTAGATTTATTTAAGTGCTGAACTCAAACGACTGTCCTGTATTTAGGAAATAATGATGGTGTTCTTTCCAAATGAAATAGGCAACATAATCCACTATAAATTTGTATACAATCTGGAATGTTTCCTAAGGGTCCCACACAGTGATGGGATTCAAATAATTTAACAATCGGTTCTCTGCCCTAATGACCAGCTGAGTAGGCGTGGCTCAGTGGTCATGTGACCGTGTGGGCGTGGCCAACTCAACATCACTCACGTCGAAGGGCGCTTCGCCTTAGCTGTTACAATGTAATAAGGGTTAAGAGGCAGTTTCTGTAAGCAGGGGAATAAAGATTAGGCTAGAAACAACACCAGAATGTTTCTTTCCTGCCTTCCTTACAGGATTAGCCCTGTAAAGTGGAAAAAAAACAAAATAAGATTTCTTCCAACAACCTGTTCTCCGAACTGCTTAGAAGGTTAACAACCGGTTCTTCCGAATAGATGCGAACTGGCTGAGTCCACATCTTTGCAGCTTATTTGGAATATTATAGAGCCTAGTATTTTTCTTTTCAGGAGCTCTGATTCCCATTGTAACAAATAACAGGGAAGATTTTCATCTAACATTGCAAAGGCCCTATAATAAATTGGTGTGTTTTCATTTACTATCCTATGATTGTTTTAAAGTTATGTTTAATGCATGTACCATTTTATATTTTTTTCCTTGAATAATTTTATTTTCTTTAATTATCATTTATTTCTCAATCCATCAAGCAATGCAGATGCCTTCAGATAGATGGGATGTGGGCAATAGTTTATTGTCCATCATTGGTTTGTGTGGTAGTCTTGAGATTATAGATGCTACTTTGCATTGAACAGAATGAACATGCATGGATTAAAAGTGGCTTTGGTTGCACTGGTGACACACTGGCCAAAATGTGCCCAATCTGATCAATGTAATCCCTACCAATTGTAGAAATGCATTGCTCTGCATGTATCAAAGCTATGACTAAGGCTAATAATTGAAGATAGCCCTTTACATTTTCCTAAACAGCATGAAACAAAATTCTTGATTGACTAAAGTTATGAGAGGTGGCAGAGGTGAATATATGTGGGTTCCATCTCATGATGGCCATGGGGTGATGATCATAACTTTGGGACCCATCTGACCATGGAATGCAGAAGACTCTAATTTGTTGTGCAGTGAAGGTTGTCCAAACTGGTTCAGCTGATAAATACATACAGGGAAGTGAAGATATTAGTTTGATTATGAACAAAAAGGCTAAAACGTTTTGCAGAAAGTATGAACTGGTGTTATCTAAGTTGTTGTGGATATGTAGGAAGGACAGTAGGAATCCATCGATAGATGCAAGCAGCACTTTGGTGAATGGAAGAACCATATATGAATTTTAGGGGAAAATGTACAATTTTCTGAATGAATGGGATTCAGGAATTATTCTCATACTGATTGAATAGGTGGGAACAAAACAAAACAATGCAAAAAAAGTGATTGGGTCATTTACAGACTCTAGAAAACAGTGAAAGATACGTATCCGCTTAGAAAAAGATCAGTTTGTTTTGAACATGTGAATTAAGCATAAATCTCTTCAGGTGAGGTTATGAATATGTATCTAAAAGCATGATTAAGCTGATGGAAGAGTGAATTAAGGAAGGAAAAGGGATGTTGACAGATTCTGACAGACCATGTTTTGGTAAAGTCAATAACAGACTTGAAAGAAAAATAGATATAGAAGACAATGTTGAACAAATGGAGGAAAAGAATCTTGTGTGGACATATTATTAGTAAATAGATTAATCTCCCAACAGAATAAATAGAAAATGGCTATAAGGCAAAGTGAGCTGCTTGGAACAAAGTAAAAAAAAGTGTGTCCCAGAGAAAGTTCAGTTACATGAGTTGGAAATTTGAAAAATGACATGTGCTGGAAAAATAGGGGAAAAGGATTGCAGAGTCACAAAAAATGTATTAAAGAGAATGATTGCTGCAAAAATTAGGATGAGAAAAAGATACTGTATAATATGTTATATATCTATATTATAATATAATATAGATGCAAACAATGTCATCAAAGCTAGCTAGAATCAATTAAGAAACAAGCATGAAAATACAGGCCAATTTTGATTTATGTCAAGAGAAATATTAATAGTAAGATGAATGCAGTGAGAATAGGTGCTTCAGAATTATATCTGGAACAGAGGTTGGGTAAAATGAATGGATATGGGTTGATCATAAAAGTTAAGTGAATCGTATGAAAGAATTGCATTGAGGCAGTTTGATTGTATCAAGAAAATTAATGAGGATTGAATTATGAAACAAATATGTAAAAGTAGAGTGAATAGGAAGAGAGAGGAAAAGAAAGACTGGGGAAATGGTGATTGGATAGAATGCAACCCAATGGTAGATAAAAATAGTAGAAACAAGGATGGTTAGCAAGAATAAAAAGCATAGATGTCCAGGGAGGTTGGGCAAAAAGGATAAATGAGAAAAAATGTATCATTATGTACAACGTTTGTACTTGCATCAAAATGTCATATACAGCTACATGAGGGCTCCAGCTTGCATTATGATGTCACAATGCACATTTCATCATCTCGATAAAATCTCAACACTGCAAGCACTCCTGGAACTTACAACATCGTTGCACCATCCCAATGGTCATGTGATTTACATTCGGATGTTTGACAACTGACTCACATTTATGACAGTTGCAGTGTCCCAGGGTCATGTGATCACTTTTTGCGACCTTCTGACAAGCAAAGTTAATGGGGAAACCAGATTCACTTAACAACCGTGTTACTACCCTGTTTCCCCCAAAATAAGACATCCCCTGATAATAAGCCCAATCGGGCTTTTGAATGCCTGGGAATAAGGCCAAGCGCTTATTTCAGGGTTCAAAAAAATATAAGACAGGGTCTTATTTTCGGGGAAACACAGTAATTTAACAACTGCAGTGCTTCATTTAACAAATGTATTAAGTCCTAAAACAGGGGAAAACTCACTTAACAAATGTTTCACAAACATTCACAAATGTTTTGGGGCTCAATTGTGGTTGTAATCCAAGGACTACTTGTATCTGGAATGCTGTTGAATGTAAACTAGATACAATTGTATTTCCCTTTCCTCACTAATGCTTTTATTCCTTCAGTTCATAATTTCTTTCTGAACTTTGCACAAGATAGCTTACTTCAAAAGGGAATTGCTTGTTGTATATAAATGTGTGTGTGTGTGTGTGTGTGTGCCTGCCAAATACCATAAATTAAACTTGTCACTTGTTATTTTCTAACAATGCTGCACGTACCATAATTTGTTTTCCTATATTATTTTATTAGTGTAAAAGTAACAAATTTTAATGTCTGCTGTGTTTCTATTTTAGGTGAAAGCAGCTTCCAAATACGTGGATGTGCCCGTAAGCTTTATTTAAATATAGCACTCTCTTTTTTTTTTCCTTCCCACCCTCTTTGTAATGGAACTGATGCCTTTTTACAATGATTACCATGATTGGCTCTTCTCTTAATCAGTGATGATAATGAGATTTTTCATCAAAAGTTTATGAGAGCTGATCCTTTTTGGAACTTTCTCAGTGATCCTTGGGAAGTCTGGTATCTCTGTCCAATAAAATATATGTTAAAAGTAAATGTTATGCAGTGAAAAATATGGAACAAAGATGATGAACATTTGTGATGTCTTTCATTATAACCATACACTTTGTAAATTATCTGTCTCAGATCACAAAACATGGTCACTCCTCTTTGAGATGTGGAAGAACTTTTAAGGACCAGTACGAATTGGCTGTAACCTGGCCTTTTTTGCAAAGAGAGACTCAAGAAGAAGATCAGAGTAAACAGAGTTTATAATGCAGTCTCAGAGACTCTAGGACAGTGATAGTGAACCTTTTCAGCACCAAGTGCCTAAAAGGGAGCACTTCGCATGACCGCACGCTCATCTGTGCTGCGACCAGGAAGAGGAGCTGCCCAGGGCGCATGCGCATGCTGGAAAATGAACTTCCGGTTTTTGGCATGTGCATGCGCGCCGGCCAGCAAGTCTTCCAGTTACTGCCATGCATGCACACATGCCGATCAGCTGGCCAGCGCACATGTTCACGCCAGAAAATGGAAGATCAGCTCTTCCGATTTCCGGCACTGCCACACGCACAAAGGCCAGCTGATCATCGTGTGTGCATGCGCGCCCAAAATCCAGAAGATGAACAGGCGATGCCACATGTGCCAGACGACATGGCTCCACGTGCCGCTTCGGACACACGTGCCATAGGTTCACCATCACGGCTCTAGGAAGTTCCTGTTGGATCACATTGTCATTGTCAACATCTTGAAGTAGTGAAGGTTTCCAAGGCTGAGATGGAGGCAGGCTAAGTATGGGATCAGCCTGGAGGAAAAGGCATGTGAGGTCAAAGAAGGAAACAGGGAGGTAATTCTTCATTTTGGATGGAAGAACATTACTGCGTAAAAAATCAAGGCAGAGTGTAAAGAATGCTGATGTGGAAACCCTTGAGCTCCTAACCAGGAACAGCAACTCAATTTAGTCTTTCAAAAACCAGAGAAACTGGCACTAGATCGATTCTCATTGTTATTACTGGGTACAAATCTGATGGGCCTCTTTCTTTGCCAGGAGGCTTCCTTGGGTTTTGTGTCCTTTCTTCCAGGAATGACCAAGTAATTGGAGAGGGCCTGAAATACAGCAAAGCCTGACATAACATTGTTTGAAGTGAATAAAAGCTCTACATCAGAATCCAGACTTAGCAGGTGCTCAGATGTTTAAAGTGGTAGACAAACAAAGCTAGAATGAGTGGGCCGAAATGGAATTATGTTTGTTTTACCTTCCGCGGCAAACAGTTCCAACAGATTGTTTTACTGTTGCACAATATAATAAGAAATTATTACTGTTACTATTATTATTAATTTATTTTTATTTATTTTATTTATTTATTTATCAAACACATTGCTATCTCATCATACTGCCAAGGGAACAGCCAAATAAGAGGTAGCATAGCCCACAGTTGGATAGTAGATAAGGCAAGAAGTCAGAAAAGACCATCCCTAGTTTCCCAGGCTGTAAAGCCTGCGTTTGTGTGTGTGTGTGTGTGTGAGAGAGAGAGAGAGAGAGAGAGAGGGAGAGGGAGAGAGAGAGAGAGAGAGGGAGAGAGAGAGAGAGAGAGAGAGAGAGAGAGAGAGATTGTACTTCATGCTTACAAGATTGATGTCAGCCACACAGGGTAAACCAGATAGGAATCACAACCACATAAACTAATTCTACTTTATTGTAGAAGCTATGTTGACAGACTCATGCAAGTGTAAGAGTGCAAATTTCTCTCTGTCTCTTTTACAGCCCCATCTTGAATGTGTTAACTGTCATTTTAATATTTATTTTCCTAAACAGCCTTTTAATTTTAAGGCAGAAATAATTTTTGAGGGGAAAATGGTGAGTGGTAGATGATACAATACAATACAATACAATACAATACAATACAATACAATACAATACAATACAATACAATACAATACAATACAATACAATACAATACAACAACACAACACAACACAATAATATAATATAATATAATATTTATATAACATATAAATATTAATATAATATAATATAATATAATATAATATAATATAATATAATATAATATAATATAATATAATATAATATAATAAAGTTAGTTTGTAGAAAGTTCTTCAGCTTGGTCTTTAATAAATATATTAAATATTATGTGTGTGTGTGTGTATGTGTGTGTGTATAAAAAGACCAGGTTGAAGACTTTTCTGCAAAATAACTTTATTATTCCTTTTTTTTAAAAAAAAGTAAATGATGCTGCAGCCCATTATTTAGAGCTTGGATTAGATTGCAAAGAGTCCTCAAAGATCTCAGGCAAAGCACTCTGCATACCTGAAATTAACATTTAAATTAAGTTAAAGTGCAAGTTAAATTAAGTTTAAGTTGGAGTCAGGGATTATGATTGTTAAAGCGGAAGACAATTGCAGGCGTTTGATTTTGAGGATTTATAGATAAGAGCCCCTGCTCTAAATTTTCATTTCCAAATTGTGTGTACCTATATCCATATTTATTAAGATGTACACAGAAAGTAAATATAAATTATATGGACTGTGGCTGAGTGGAAAATTTCTTTCAATATATCTTTATGGAAAAAAGGCAGGGAAAATTTAAATATATATTTACAGTATATGCCTTTATTTTATTTTTTCACTTATCCTAAATGTTGATTTTTATTTTATAGTGTTACATATCTGTTCATCTAAATATGTCCTCCTCACTCATAAAGCCCAGTGAGATATTCCTGATATTATCCTATTTTAGCTTCACAACCACTCTTTAAAGTAGAATGAGATGGAAGATCTCCCTTCCACTGAACATTAAATGGAAGCAAAGTTTAGCAGCCATTTTCCTATAGTTGAAACTCATTTTTTTTTCCTGCCTGTGGGTAGGGTAATCTTGCAGAAAAAGCCACCTTAACAATTAACTTAGTATTAATAATTGCTTTGCATACAAGGAAGGAAAGTAAACCAGAACACCATGGCTTAGGCATGTTAAAATCACATTTCCAATTTTGTCGTTTTTCTAGATTAGCGATTTTTTTAAAAAAAATCAATAGAGACCTTTCTTCCTGTAATATCAAAAATCCTCTCTTCCTTTATGCACGCACAGAGGCAGAAATGTCATCCTTAAAGAGGAAAACAAGAAGAAAGTAGTAGAGAATTTGAATTATTTATATTGTTTCACAGATAGATTTTTTTATTTATTTATTAAATTTTTATATCACCCATCTCCCTACAAGATGACTCTGGGAGGCTTACCATTACCGCCTTGGATTTACAGCATCTTTAGGTTAGCTGTGCCATTCTGTCTGCCCTTTTGAATTGCCAATATTATTAATGGGAAACTCTGCCCCACCCTACCAACATACATACCAACACACACAAACTAACTCTTTGCAGAAAGAAGCAAGCTGCAGCCAAAATCGGGCCTTCCAATCTAGGTAAAAGCTTTGCTCTCTTATACCAACCAACCAACTTTTCTCCTGTCTAATTCTGAAAAGTTGGTTGCTGAGAATTAAACAGTTGCAGCACTCATCCATTTTTTATTATTATTATTATTATTATTATTATTATTATTATTATTATTATTATTATTATTATTATTATTATTATTTATTACAACCTTAGTGCAGTTCACTTGCTGGAAATTGCCTTGAAAAAATATCATCATCATATTGTACTGTATATTGTTCTCATTGTTGGAGGTTTTTTTTTTTTAAATTAATACCTTGTCATTGTTTCAGTAGGTGTTAAAAATGTTACTGGCATCTTAGAGCCAATCATTGCCCTTTGCTTGATAATTGTATTTCTATGTTTATATACACAAACGTGCACGCACACACACACACATGTGCACAAATGTGCATGTGCACGTACACACACACACACACACCAAGTTATGCACACACCTTCCTACTGTTTCTCAAACTTCCTAATTTTCACCCAGGAAATGGGTGTTAACTAACTTCAATTTACAGTGGATGACAATCACATCTCATTGAGAAATGATACTTTGTGATCTGCAGTAAAACACAGTAATAAAAGTAATGACACCCGTTATTATGAAACTTCCCATGTGCCACCAACATTTAAGATTTGTGTGGCAGCGTTTATAATGACTCTTATTTTAGCATTTTAATGGGTTTCCTTTGAGATGAGTTTGATTCCATTATATCAAAACATCCAGCTTACTTAGTGATTGTTTTTTTCCCCACCAAATTATTTCCTTTATTAGCTTCTGGTGAGCATAATACAAACTGTCATAATCATTACATATCTTGCAAACTTTATACATTCAGATTTAAGGGAATTTGGTGTGTTGTAGCTTCACGGGAATGACAGGAGATGAATGGAGCAGTTTTATACTTGCTTACTCAAAAGGCAATCTATTTTGAATAGGATTTATTCCCACAACGAAGGTTGCAAATGCATTGGAAATACGTTTAGGATACAAGCTAACCCAAATTAGCTAGAATTAAAGGTCTGTTACTTTCGTTGGGCTAAAGTAAAGTACCTCATTTCAATCAGCAACTATACACTGGCAACCTATATCTATCACTTTTTTTAAAAAAATTGATTTATATGCCGCCCTTCTCCGAAGACTCAGGGCAGCTTACAATGCGTTAAGCAATACTTGAATGTTTTTGGTGTTTTTGACAGGTAGGAAATAGATTTTGGGGGCGGGGGGGGGGGTTATAGAATAACTCCAAATGATATTTTCTTTTTAAATATATGTGTTTGATTGGGTACTCAAATCTGAATGGTTTGAGTACCCCTTTGAGTACCTTTGGCCCATTAGATTTGAATAGGTCTGAGGGTTCCCTTTTTCATATTAGAGAGGATTTTCTTGGAGAAGATGATTCTAAAGAGATGACGATGAAGCCACATGAGTTGTTGTTGCTAATTAGGTCAAGAAGAGAAGGAAGGACTGAGAGAGACAGAAAGAGAGATTTGACTGAGCTATGCAAACCAAAGGCTTAGATGCTTTAGCTACCTGCTACACACAGCAGAAAGATTTTGCTGGTTCCCAAATAGGTCTCAATGTGTCAACTAGAAGGGACACATACATCAGGCCGTAATGTGAAGGGAATAGAAGAAGGAGAATATAGTGAAAGATGCTCACCACTGAATAAACAGGCTGTCTTGGAGATATGCCACGTTCATGCTTCTTTCCTCCTTGTTTCCCTCTTAATTTCCTCTCCTTCTCACTCTTTTTCTCTATGCAGAAACCAGGGATGGACGTTGCTGATGCCTACGTGACCTTCGTTCGCCATTCTCAGGACATTCTGCGTGATAAGGTCAATGAGGAGATGTATATAGAAAGGTTATTTGATGTAAGTAAATGCCCCCTCCAGCTTGGAGATCCAAGAGGGAGAGCTGCAAAATGTGACAAAATGAGACAGGAGGATAAGTCACATTTTGAAAGAAGTGATTAATGATAGTATTCTCTCTTTTTTTTCCTTTTTTGTTGTTTTCTTCTTTATTTTTGAAGGAAATTTCTGTTTTTTCTTTTTCTTTTTTTCTGAATGATACTCAACCTATCTGCTACTTGTCTGCTCTAATGCCTTACTCCAAGCCACTTTGACTTACTTTCCGTCTGTTTAGATTTTAGGATAAGAGCACCTTAAATCAATGCTTATCACTCTGACCTAAGAATGTATCAGCCATTTTTCTTAGCCTTAAACTCTTGTTCCCCAACTGGGAGAGAAGGTAAACACTCAGGAAAAAGTACATTTGTGATCTAATTGCGAGTAAAACTTTTTGCTGAAGGACCAGCAACTTTAACCATGATTTGACCCATTTTTTTCAAAAATTAAAACGAACATACATTATTAGTAGTAGTAATAGTAGCATTAATATTCTTATTAATAGAGACAGTTGTGATTTGGAATATAGCTGTATAGCTTTCAATTCAAAATTAGTTCAAAAATATTGGAATGTTTCTGTATCCATTTTCCAATCCGAATAAATAAGGTTAATTTTGAGGTCGGATGCAATTCCAACTATGAAAGAAGATGTAGCACCCAATTATTTTAAAGAATTAACTCCGATTTTATTTGAATGTCATGTATTTCACAGTTTCTTCATCTTTCTGATGCTTTTTCCCCCTCTAGAATACTATTTTTTGTCCTAACAGTAATTGTATAGCCCAGCATTCCAATTTACAGCAGGTGCTTAATATTCTTGCTCCAGTCACTTGTTAGGAATGCATGTTTCTTTGTGTATGTGTTTGTGCAATTGTACAACAGCTGCCTTTGTCTTTGCTATCCATGCTCTAAGTTCTCTGCCCTCCCCTGTGTTCTGGTGTCCCAATTCGAATACCTTCAGATTCTCTGCAGGTTTGTTTTACCTGTTTTCTTGCTTACATTGGATTGAAAAGCTGTCTGTCTGCCGTGTCCACCTTCCCCAAATTTTCCCAATTCCTCTTATGATTGATTCTCGTCTTTATTCCCATTTTCCTTCCCACTGAAGCCTCTTCCAACTGCATAATTCCCTTTGTTCAGTCCTCCTTCCCCCCCCCCACCCCCCGCAAGATTAAAATGGAACTTATCTCCCATGTCAAATGTTTTATCACATTATATCAAGTGGCATGAATTGGAGTCAAATAATCTTCCTGTGTATATCTACTAGCATGACCCATATCCACCGAGAATGCCTCATTCATGCATAAAGCTCTCCAGAGATTCCTTTCCTCTTAAGAGAGTTTAAATGTGAGACGCAAATCACCTTTCCACTTGAGGCAGTCCTTTTCTCTCAGTTACAGACTTGCTAGCCCTCTCCCTGTTGCCGTAAAAATTCTCCAGTTAGCAAAACATTTCCAGGGATTGTTCTTTTCAGGGGTAACCTTTGCACTGAGTATTTTCCAGTTTGTATCTCAGCCAATTGCCTTGAACTCCTCAAACAGAATAAGTATCTGAAATAATTCAGTTCAATCACATCACAACTGTATCACAATTGATATTAATAAGGGCCTTGGGTACCATTTATATAGAGCAGGGGTCAGCAACCTGCGGCTCCGGAGCCACATGCGGCTCTTTGCTGTGGCTCCCTGTCAGGTGATCCCACCAATGGCTGGCCCCACTCCTCCCCTCCCAGTCACTCCTCGCCTGGTCTGAGAAGGTAAGGGTGACTGCGGGGGATGGAGAAGTGGCCAGGGCAGAGACAGTGAGATACAGAGAGAGGGGGAGAGAGAGAGACAGAAAGAGATACAGAAAGAGAGGGAAAGAGAGGGGGGAGGGAGGGGGGAGAGAGATAGGTCAAAAGGATTTTGTGGTTCCCAGTGTTTTTTAACAACTGATTCTCTGCCCTAATGACTGGCTGGGTAGGCATGGCTGGGGGGGGGGGCGGTGTCATGTGACTGGTGGAAGTGAGTGACATCAAGTTGGCCATGCCCACCCAGGTTTTGTGGCTCCCGGTATTTTCTTTTCTGTGGGAAACGGGTCCAAATGGCTCTTTGAGTGCTTAAGGTTGCACACCCCGATATAGAAGAAAAGAAAGGCTGTTTAATAAATAAATGTGTTTTTATCTAGACACCCTCTCGGCAGAACAGGGACTGTATTACAAAAGGTAATTGAGGCACATTTACAAACCATACAAACCCCATAGGAAGATACGGTATACACTGGACGACACTGGGGACAATTTGTGTCTCTTTTGAGGAACATTTCCAAAAAAGTGGTAAAGCATAGAAAGGGAACCTGTGGCTCTTGAAATGTTTTTAGGGGGGTGTGCAGGGAGGCAGTCAAAGTCAAAATGGAATCCCCAACCATGCAATCAAAGCCCCAACCTTTTTTTCATACATTGTATTAAAAAAAAAAAAAAAAGAAGGAAGGAAGGAGTTTTGATCACATGGTTTGGACGACCATCTTGATGTTTTTGTTCCCATCCTGTGGGAACAAAATGAATGTTGTTCAATGGAAAGTCCCAACTGCCCCGTTATGGTAATGGTGGAAGATTACTGAGAGCTTTATTTGAAGGGTTTGATTGTACTACTAAGAACCATGCCTATAATATTCTTGATGTTCCCTTTTGGGAATAAACACCTTGCCCATTCAGGTCCTTGCTTTTTGTAAAATCCAAAAACATCCATTATATACACAAGCCTTCACTAGAGAGGGACCACTTTGCTGCAAAAACAATGAGGTCTTTTTGCCCAAAACCCTTAGATTTTAGTTCACACACATTGTGGTGATGTCTGGTCTGCAGAAATATAGTAAATACAATAATTCCCAGTGTCCCATCATTTCTCAGTCACCATCCTTTTTGAGAAAGCACAACTAATCATTATATTCTTTTTATCATGATAAACTGGTTTCATAAGGATTTTGGTGGTTGCTTTTTGAGATGACAAAAAAAGGGGGGGACGCGGTTGCTCAGTGGCTAAGACGCTGAGCTTGTCGATCGAAAGGTTGGCAGTTCAGCAATTTGAATCCCTAGTGCCGCATAACGGGGTGAGCTCCCGTTACTTGTCCCAGCTTCTGCCAACCTAGCAGTTCGAAAGCACGTAAAAAATGCAAGTAGAAAAATAGGGACCACCTTTGGTGGGAAGGTAACAGTGTTCTGTGCGCCTTTGGCGTTTAGTCATGCCGGCCACATGACCACGGAGACGTCTTCGGACAGCGCTGGCTCTTCGGCTTTGAAACAGAGATGAGCACTGCCCCCTAGAGTCAAGAACTACTAGCACATATGTGCGAGGGGAAACTTTACCTTAATTTGAGATGACATAAGAATTTTCACCTTCATCTTTCACAGGATACAAGAATTCATTCTTCTCTTGATAACCTAAAACAGACTTCCTCCAAGCTAGCCCTGTCTAGGTATTTGGTTTACAAGTTCCACTAGTGCCTGCTGAGTGACAAATGATCAAAGATCTGGAGAGGATCAAGTTGGATGAAGCCATTTTAATGCCTATGAATCTGGCCAATTGACAAAGTTGGCTTGGCTTATTTCAGAATCAGAAATGCCAAAGCAGCAACAAATGTTTATTCTCTCTTTTCTTTCCATTTGATTATTTCCCTTCCCTGCCTGGAATATTTTTTAAATGGCATTTTATTAATACTGTTATTAATACATTTACTGAACTGTTAATTTTGCTTTTTTTTTCCGTTTATTCCTAAAATCATCCACTTTATACTGCATAATACTTATTTCCTTTATAAAGCCTTGTTCCTATGGGTTAGAATAGCAGGATTATTTTCATTGATGGTATTAGCATATGCAGGAAAGTATTTAAATATTATTGTGCAGTCCACCCTTGAATCACATTTGTTTTGTAACTTAAATTTATTCTGGAAAACAAGCCATTAAAAATTTGGTTCAGATTGCTGGAGGATATTGTGATGGTCTACAATTAGCAACTAATAAGGGTCATTTTATTTTCCAGGAATTGTTTATTGAAATACAACAATTTTTTTTCTTATCCATTAAAATTCTAGCCACAGAGAAGGAATAATGAGAAAGAAAGGATCATTTATAATATACAGTTGTAGTTTAGGGCCACATATGTCCATCCACATATTTATATGCTATGCCTTGAGAATGTATTTTCATTGTATACACTGATGATTTAAGTTCTGTAAGTTAGTTTAACATCTTCCATTACCTAGACAGAATTCTGATCCCATATGGTAGCTAATGAATCCCACTATATTATCAAGGCCTCATCTTAAATCAGGTCCTATAACTTTAAATAAATGGGTAAGAAATCAGAATTTGGTAGAGATGCAGTTTCTTTGTGGTCCATTAGGAATTTTGGCATCTACTGATGAAACCTGAGGTTGGGGAGAAAAATATAACCATGTTATTTAACTTTGATTTTAGTTGAACAGCAAGACTGTGAAACTAATATATTTCCTCAGTATAAACTAAATTCTAAGCATTGAAAACATATTTGTTCATCCTGATCTTCAATGTCCATCAAACATTGGTTCCCCCCCCCCACTCCCCATTTCCTATACTTCAGTACAGTGGTGTTTTTGTTTTGTTTTTTTCCAAAAACCCTAGGAAATTGTCTACAACAGGAGTCACCAACCCCTGGGCCACAGCCCACTACTGGGCCGCAACCTGTTCAGAACCAGGCCACACAGGTGGCGGGCGAGCACCTGTGCACAAGCGGCAGCCATCTTGCCCTTATGGTGGCCGCTTGCCCTCACGTGCAAAGCTCCCCTTGCACGAGGAGCAATGACTTTCCCTAGCATACAAAATTCCCCTTGCGCGAGTGGTGGTTGTCTTGCAGTCCCGTGCGAAGCTTCCCTTGACACAAATGGAGCTGCGCGTGCTCGTGCATGCCTATCTACCACTCGCAAGCAATATCGCCTCCCCCCCCACACACTCT